TATATATAAATTTTTCTTTTCCTCTTGGATGACTTCAAGATTATTTCAGATGAGTTTTACTACACACATTTTTATTATAAAATTTCTTTTTAATATATATTTTACTAAAAAAGATTGATGATATAAAAATATTATTATTAAGCACCAAGACACGCTTTATACCATGTTAGCATTTGCTCATTTTAATTGAAACGCTTCACAGTCGATTCAGATACTTAATTATTTATACACATCGCCGTTGAAAGACGTTCTTCCTGAATTTACTGGTTATACGATAAATATTATCATATGCTTCGATAGTTGAACGATAAGACACTCGCTTAAGAAAGCAGGATGTCCAGGTTCAAATCAAGGCTGAGAAAATACTTAATAAGTTATTTTCACAGGATTTAAAAAGATACTCAAGAGAGACGAATTATTAGATTTCATCGGTTAGACGATAGAAGACTATAACATTGTATGCAAGTCATCATATTTATTTCATACAATATTAAGTCTTCTATATCATCCGATCGGTTAGACTGAAAATCTAATAATTTGACTTTACTGGACTTTCTTTTTAAATGCTGTGAAAATAATTTATTGCGAAAAATATTATCTATTATCAATATTATATATTGAATATTATATGTGTGTCATATGTATATTTATGCATCTATATGTATACAGGACATACTTCTAAATACATTTATATTAAATGTAGATGCTTTAATATATATTCTTGTAAATAAAATAATACTTTTAGATTTATATACTAATCTCTTTTTTTAATTCTAAGCTAACGTATCTTTAATTAATCCGTAAAAGCTACTTCTCTTTTGAATGGTTTTGTTTAACACAAAATTTTGAAAACAATTACGTTCTTTTTTCGAAAATTTAATATTACCAATCGATTGGTCAGAAAATTTTACATTGAGAAACACTTTTGCTTTTTATTTTTAGAAGATATAAAACTTTAAAAACGCTTGATGCGAATTCGTACCCAGATGTCCTTTACGGGTTAAAAGTAATAGCTAACGATTTTAGCTGTTTTCCATAAATGTTCTTTATAAATTCCTTTATCTAAGATCTAGGTTAACAGTCAACTTTTAACATTCAATAAATAATCTTTTAAATTTATACCCAATAAATCTGACATTAATTTCAAACAAGATAGATGTATACAACAAATAATGAGGCAAAAAAGAACCAAATTCGGCTGCCTAATAACATTCTTAATTTTTTAAGTCTATAAATTATTTCAGTGTACATTACGTGTCGATTACTGTCAGTCTTCATTAAGAATGCAGACATAACTTAAAGCTGAAAAAATATCACATATCTATTAAATTGATGATGATGTTATAAGCATTCTAAAATATTGTGAAGAGCTTTTTTTAAATATTAAAACAATTAAGATGTTATTGAGCCAACATCTAACTTCGGCCAAATTTGGAACTCCTATTGTCCTCATTATTTATTGAATCTAACATAATACAATTTACTTTTTCATTTACTAGAATTACAGGCGCGCGCTTCGCGTGTGCTATTTAACATTTTTTTGCCTTTTACTATATATGCTATTGCACATCAATTTCAATATAAATGTCAAAATATGCAATGATAGATTGTTCAATCAAGTAAGCATAGCGAAAAAATCAATCAGCATCGTGAAAGATAATAAATACTGAATAAAAAAATACTAAATTATTTCAAATAAATAACATAATTTAAAAATAATTAAAATAAAGCAGATGTCCAATTGTCATGTATCACATAAAAATTTTTATCTGCCATATTATATAAAAATTATAACATTACATTAATTTAGTGATACATGTACGTATAATATGTGTGTGTATTTTATAAAACTTTACATTCTTAAATAGGAAAAGCTGGAAAACTATGTACCAGATACAAGATTCGAGAGAAATTCACCATTTTATAAATTTAATTTATTATTTTCAAATGATTCCATTTAAATTAAGTTAATTCCATTATTTTATTTCATGTTACGTTCATATATCATGTTACATCATATAAAAGTGATATGATATTGTGTCTATTTTCTTTTCAATTGTTCAGATTTGTTTTAGTTTTATATGATAAGAATATTAATTCTATCTTAAGACATATTAGATGTTAATTATCTTCTTTATTGTTGATTAAACAGAAGATAATATAAGTTGTATAATTATAAATAACAGTAGTTGCAAACATAGATCCGTATTCAAAACTTTAATTATCGATAAATGCGCGCTTTTATTAAAATTCTATAGTATACGTAATGTAAAGTATAGCGTGTTAGCGCATTCTGAATACGAATCATAATTGCAAAAATAGCAAAAAGAAAAATGGACTATAAACCTTACATAAATTAATTTAATATTTCTTCTACAGTCTATAATTACTTCTCACTTCTACACTTTTCATCTCTATATGCAGGGAATGGAAAATTACCTTTTAAAAGTAACTAGTTATCATTACTCGTTACCAAGTTAAAAAAATAACTAGTTACTATTACTAGTTATAGATTTTTAAAAATAACTCGTTATCGTTACTTAAAAAATAACGATTCGTTACTTTTCCGTTACATTTTTAATGCTGAAATAAGATTAGTTTAAATAATTTAAGAATCTTTTTTAAATAATAATGAAAGCAATACAATAGTGACACTTGATCGATATATAAAAATACAACTAGGAAAAGAAAAGCTTTTTCAATATGAGCTATAAGAGCTTTTAGCTTCGTGTTCAGTTGGAAGCATTATTTTAGAGTGAATTTATATACATATTCAATTCTATAAACTATGCGCCAATTAAATTTTCGATCTTGAAATGCAAATTGAATTCGGCTGATATTTTTTACAATAAATGTTTCAAAGTATTTTAAGATTCTTATTAATGTAAATGTTTTATTAAATTAATTGTCAATTTAATTTATAATATTGATTGAGTTATGGCATTCTTAAGATGTCATAAACCAATCACAAGAGCCATATTAATATTTTAAGGTAACAACACATATTATTTAAAATAGTCTTAAAATAAGAACAAACTATGAATATTAGCCAAAGACTGAAGATTGAGTAAATTTATGAAAATATAAATATAAAATAAATATAAAAAGTTCAAAACATCAAAAAATAACGTTAAAAGTAACTGTATAATTCGTTACCGTTACAGTAACTAAAAAAAGCATAACCAATCCGTTACCAATCCGTTCCTATCTAAAAAAAGTGCATATAAAGTCGATAATTCGCATTTCTCGAAATTATTTGATGTCGCTTTTCCGCGATGTTGATTGGTTGTCTCGCTGCGCTTACTTTGTGTAAGCTGTGTTATTGCATTTCGACAGTTGTGCGTATTAAGGTTGATGTTATTGTAAATTATACTCGTGGTAAGAAGTGTTAAATACCGCGCGCAAAGCGCGCGTTTGTAGTGCTAGTACCAAAAAAGCTGTAATATATGGCGTTATAAGTAACGAGTTACTTTCAATCTTTGTCTATATGTGTGCAAACTCAGTCGGGGGTATATAAGAATGTCGTGTTTTGAAAATCCAGTTTAGACAATCCGAACAAGTAAATCATTTCTTGTTAGTCTCTCGTGAGTAAAATCGGTCAGGTAAAAACAATATCACAAAAACTCGGGATATAAAAATAAATAAAGTCTTTTTTTTTTAATTTGTTTTCATAATCCAACAGACAGATTTGCATTTATAGTGCGCGTTGGAAAGTGCGATGCTCCTAAGGGACAATAGTAAGACGTGCAACAAATGCCGCTGCGAACGTCGATCCCTTGAGTGCGCGCACACGCAATCCACGGCAACAAAGCCGATTAATTATATTTTGTTGAATTAACATACACGGTATAATGAAGATTACATCGCTACCGTATGGAGGACGCGGCCCAATATATGGTATTCCGTCCGATATCTCCGCTTAATTCATGGAACATGACTCGATTATCATCACTTTCGCTATCGATTAGGAATTAAAAGCAATACAAATACAAAGCAAAAGTCAAGGCAAGACAAGACAACGGGGATATATGTAGCTTGCGTCTCGCTTGTCCTATATACGGAGTTTCTAATCGCATTCCCTTAAAATGAAATTGCGCATGTCGCGCAGTGTACGATACATCGACTTAAAAAATCTAATAACAGAGATAAAACTGACGTAGAACTCGCAGTCGCGACCATTTCAAGGTTTCAAAGATTTATTTTATCTTGTTTTACGTCATCAAGATTAGTGATATCTCTTGCAAATAATACAGTGATATATGTAATATAAAAATAGAAACTATGAAACCAATATGTCGTCAAAATGTAAATTTTTAAAACAAATATATGTTAATAATATATATTTATAATATTATAATATATTATATATTTATATATAATATATTATAGATATAATATTATATATTTATAAATATATTTATATTACAGACAAATATACGGGTTTTTCAATGTTATTCTCGTTCTTATATTTCTTCAGCTTATTTATGAGCGAAACAAGAGTACATGTGACTGAAGGAACATTGAAAGGTGTCGTCGTAGATGGATACAATGTCCGTTATCTCGCTTTTCGCGGAATACCATATGCCAAACCGCCGGTTGGCGAACTCAGATTTAAGGTAAATATAATAATATCGTGTCGTTATACGAACGAATAACAGATTGTTCAACAACAAAAAAAGAACTTTAGTTGATATTTCTTTATAATTATAATACAATTTAAAAAAAATTCGAGTTAGAAGAGTTTCAATTTTCTTTAAATGTTCACAAATTTATTACGGTATAATAAACTCTAAAAAATTTTAAATATATATATTTTCTAAAGATAAATATAGTTCTATATATATATACATATATATATATATATATATTAAACTCTAATATAAATGTATATGATTTTATATAATTATATAGGATCCGGAACCAGCAAAATCGTGGTCCGGTGAGAGAGATGCTTCAAAATACGGAAACGTGTGTGTTCAAGTAGATTTAGACACACACAAAATTGTGGGAGATGAAGATTGTCTCTATTTAAATGTATACACCACGAAAATCAACCTCTTGAAAAAACGTCCGGTAATGGTATGGATCCATGGTGGTGGCTATTTTGTAGGTTCCGGTAATCCATACTGGTATGGTCCCGATCATATCGTACAAAAAGACGTAGTATTGGTTACTCTGAATTATAGATTAAGTGTTCTAGGTACGTTATTCATTATTTTCATATGTATTTCTTGTATATTTATTCGCTTTTGGAATTTCTTCAAATTTCCTCAGAGAATGTAAACATGTATTTACATTTATAATTTTCAAATATGTTGTTACGTTATTATTACAATCTAAATCAAATACTAATATGGAAAATAAAAATGGCTGAAATAAATATATTCAATTACTGTTGAAAATGTTAAATAAGAGCAAATATTCTTTTTTATTTATTACAACAAATATTTCTAAAGTCGAAATTAACGCTTCTATAAGAAAAGCAAAAGATTATTGCCCAGAAAATAGAGAATTATACCTTTTTCTCTGTGTTTTTCGACCTTCTACTTTTAGCTTAAATATAACTTTATAAAAGACCTTATAAAAGAAAAAGTTAAAATGGTTTCAGGTTTTCTAAACCTCAACGATAAAGTGGCAACAGGTAATCAAGGTTTGAAGGATACGGTCTTGGCGTTAAAATGGGTTAAAAAAAATATATTAAAGTTCGGTGGAGATCCAGATAATGTCACTATCTTCGGCGAAAGTGCTGGTGCAGGCACGGTACATCATCTAGCTCTGTCTCCGTTTGCTAAAGGTAATTCGTAGTGTTAAAAATTCCCATTTTTATTTCCGTTACAAAGAAATATGTTAAAATTTGAAAATTTATAAAAAATAATATTAATAAATTTCCCCAATATTATTATTAAGAAATTATCAACACCAAATTTGTCAAAAAATCAATAATTAGAAAAAAATCGAATTCTAAGATAACTATACAGTTGAAAGGGAAGAAAATACGATTTTAATGAAATCTAGTGAACTAGATCCATTCCACGATCGTTCCTTGCAGGTTTATTCCACAAAGTGATCGCACAAAGTGGCGTCGTCGCAAATCCTTGGGCCTTCGTTGAAAAGCCGTCCGCAGGTTTTCGGATGGCCGAAAAACTCGGAAATGCAACATCAGATCCGAAAATCGCATACGAGTTTCTAAAAACGATCGATGCGAAAACACTTACGGAAACTTCACAAGTGTCACTTCCCACAGAAGAAGTAGGTATCTCAATATTTGATTATTATCAGTATTAATATTTAAATACAATATGGATTATATTTTAATATAAACTCGATTTTGTAGACTAAAATATTTTAATGTACGAATAAAAATATTTTTATTTGTAATCTCATCAGGAAAGACTGAGTTTCGAACCACTCTTCACACCCAGTCTGGACACCAAGATTTCATCGAAACCATTTTTTGCTGAACATCCAAAGGAATATTTGAAACGCGGGGTTCAAATACCCTTCCTTTTAGGATTTAATCGTAACGAAGGAATATTTTTTATACGTAGCAGCTTTTTCGGAGGTAATATAAAAATATTACATTTTGTCATTTACACTAATACACTTTTTGATTGTGTTGTTTTTATTTCTTTCGCACGAGTTTAAAATGATAAGTAAAATCAAGCTTTTAAAATTGTTTCAGGTTATATGAGCAAGGAAGCTATAGAACAAGTAAATGATGATTTTAAAAAAGGAATAGTATCAAGTATATTAAAGACATTACCTGAAATAGGAATCACTGTAGAGGAATTGAGACATTTATATTTTGGAAATGAAGAAATATCAGAAGAAACTTTGAATAATTATGCGTACTTCATAGGAGACGAATTTTTCGTTCGTGGCATAATGAAAGTAGCTGAACAGCAGAAGTCTTCTGGCGGTTCGACGTACCTATATAAATTCGATTATGAGAGCGAAACTTCTGTTATGAGAAAGGTGCTGAATATCGGTCTTCCAGGTATACATTGTCCAATTAATTAGAACTGGCTAATTAATAAATATTACTGTAAAAATTCTCATATCAAAAAAGACAAACACAATTTTGTCATCCAACGACACCTTCGAATTTTTATCGAATCATTTAACTCTGTTCGATTTGTAACAATTGCGCATAAAGCAATGATAAAAATATCTAATTTAATAAAAAAAATTAATATTTAGAAAATTAAAAGAATTAAGAATTTTAAAAAATGTAAATTAAAAATTTTAAAGGGAAATAATGAGAAACTGCATTAAAAAAAAAGATTTATTATATAATAATATTTTATAGGAGTATGCCACACGGAGGATTTATCTTATCTATTTCGCCCAGAAATGGCGAAAATAATGAATTGGACGCTACCCGAAGTTGGTACAGATGATTACAAAGTAGTAAATCATTTTACGCAAATGTGGACGGATTTTGCTAAAACAGGGTACAAGAACTTTTTCCTAGTTTTACAGAAATCCTGCAGACGTATATTAATAATTAATTCCAATCGATTTTTAGAAATCCAACGCCTACTACAAATTTATGGTTACCATTAACCAATCCGACACAAAACGAAGATTACAATTACCTAAATCTTGATCTAAATCCACAAATGAAAACCTTTCGTCCCGGAAAGGAACGTTGGAATTGGGAAAGTCGTAAATAAATGTTTCAAAACGCGTTGTATCTGCTGAAATCTTATCTGTTAAAATTTTTAATTTTTGAAGTATCTTTTGTTCTATATTTTAAAAAATTAATATATATGTACATATATAATATAAAACTAATAATCAATATACATAAATATTCTTTATCATGCAACTTTTAAAAATGTTTCTTAACTTAAAACTGATGTTTCTCCGTAGATGTAATAAAATAAAGAAAATTACTATACTTATACTTCATGTTTTAATATTTCAGCATTTGCAAACTGTGCTAAAGTTATTTCCTTCATAAATATTAATGTGAATATTTATTATCAAAGATGTCGAAATATTGTAAATAGTTTTCGAGCTATAAATCTGTCGAGAACGAAAGACATTTCCCGAATTAAATTTGAAAAAAATAATTAAATTCTGAATTATAATTAATAATTTAATTTAAATTTTATCTTTTATTTTCGTGTTTGCAGTCATGTTTATTTTAAAGTTTATTGATAATTTTGACTAAAAGACTTCTTAATTACTTATATAATTTTTTATAAGCAGTAAATATTATTAGGATATTTTTTTTAAATATGCTAACATATCAAAATAATATAATAATAGAGATGCCTAGAACCGAGACATCAAAACGTATTGAAAAATATATTTACAATTAAGTAAGTCAGAAGTTTATTTACTGACACGTGTCAGTTTTTCTCTCGTACACAGTTATTTGTATACACAATAATTATTGCTTTATCATTTGAAATTATCTGACGCGAAAAATATATAAAGTTTATATGCCGCTTATCGTTTAACACAGTGAAAGAAACAATGCGTGTGCATGTGCAGTTTATTATTATTATATGTCGTATAAATGATATCTCCCCCAAATTATCCGATAGACGATAATGATATCATACAAACAGTGAATCAGCAATTCTTCTTCATTTAATCCCCCACTCTCTCCTCGGTGAGAGTCACTCGAGCACAGTGTCCGGCACTCAGTTACATGCGTACGTGGTTGTATAATCGTGCCTCGACACACTACACAGGTAGTAGTCGCGGGATCGTCAACGTTGCTCTCTCTTTCTTCCGCCACAGTATCCATCATGAACAATAATCGTGTGGACGTATACGTGCGCGAGGGAAAATTAATCGGTATCGTCGACGAAAATATCCATGGCGGTCATTACGTCGCCTTCCGAGGAATACCGTACGCGAAACCGCCGATTGGCAAACTCAGATTCAAGGTAAAATAACATTCCGTCACGATAGATGCGTTCGGCATGACTGTGCAAGTAACCGTTCTACGTCGAGCCGTAAGAACTGAACAATCGCAATCGAATATTCTTCTAATAATCGGCTGTGATTGGCTGATCAATTCTTACGGATTATGGCTTACAATCCGACGACGTATTGTAGAATGGACTCTAACTGCGGTTTAACTGACAGCTCGAACTCTTCTTTAGCTCTCTTTGTTTGAACTTTGAATCGAAAAGATAGTGTCAAAGATAGTGTCAGTTAAAAAAATGGTAAATGAACGATACTAATTTTAAAAAATGGATACTGCTTCTCCTTCCGGATTGTTATCTTACATTTATAATTGAACTGGTGGATTACACGGATTATTTAGTACGCTTTTATTTTTACATACACTTGTGTAAAGCATGACATTCAGAGAATGATTTATAGACCGACGTAAACAGAAATCAAATATAAAATCTGATTGCGTCCTCCTATCCTCCTATTTTTTATCTTCCTATCTAAAAAAAGCATGTTAAATCGAATTTGAAATGTAACGTTGTGCGACGCTGATTGGTTCTTTCGCTGCGCTAACTTTGTGAGCGGCTGTCATTGAATATTTTGACAGTTGTATGTATTGAGATTAATGTGATATAATAGTGAATTATAGTAAAAAGTAAAAAATGTTAAATAGCGCGCGCGAAGCGTAATATAGTATTGTAAAATGCGACTAGTACTATAAAAAAACAAAAAATTAACATAATTAATAAAAATAGATAATTCAAGAGAATAACACCGATTCTCTTATAATTTACAATTTAAAATTTAAATTGCTAACATTATTAACATAATATACATAATTCATAAACTTTAAATTATCAATTCACATGAAATATCAGCGGTATATTAAATAAAGCTTTATAGAATAAAAAAAACTTTTAAATTTCTCTCAAAAGCTATATTGTAATAATATTACTAGATGATTTCTTATTAAAGCTGCAAACAATTGACACATTAACAATTAATAATTTACGAGGCTTATCGAAACCTGATAAAATTTTGATAAAAAAATAATCGACACGAATCGATTCTTCACATATTAGCATTCAATTCAGCGACGGTAAATTTCTAGCGTGATTCAAAGATATAATGATTTATGTCTAATATAAATTAATGTTTTTACTATACAATTCGTGTAACTGAAGCATACAAAAACAAAAGCATGAACAGTAGAACTGAAGCAGTAATCGGATCGATCAATCACAGTCGAGCGTTCTTTCCGAGCTAATCTATTATTCTTGAGAATGCTCAATTGTGACCGGTCGATTCATTTACTAAGGTTCACTACTTTGCTCGACGTGACAGAACCTCAAGGATGCACCAGCGTACGAAAAAAAAAATTATACAAATGTCTGTTGAAATGTTCACAGTTTAAATATAAAATATGGAATATTTCAAGCAACTTAGAGATTTTATTGCTGTCAATAAGTTATCATTAATAAAATAAAAAAGCTAACATTTCATAACTTAAGAATGTTATTTACATGCGATTGTGAACTTTGCGCTCTCTAAACTATTAATCATTGACTGTCTAGTGACGTACGACAAAATTGTATATATGAATAATAATAAAAGAAACGTCCTTGAAATCTGAATGAATATCAGAATATACGTGCCTGTCATTTATATTGATAATTTGTCAATTTCCTCCTCACGTTCCTGCGTATGGATTAATCGCACGTTTTAGTTAAAAACAAAAATATTATATCAGATTTTTTTAAATACTAAATAAAGACTATGTTTATCTATACAGGATCCGCTACCGCCGGAAAAATGGTCCGGCGGCAGAGATGCCTCGAAATATGGAAACGTCGCCGTTCAATTTGATTTACTAAAACGCGAAGTAATAGGTGACGAAGATTGCCTATATCTGAACGTATATACGCTAGATATCGTTAAAAAACGCCCAGTTATGGTGTGGATACACGGTGGCGGTTTTAGCCTGGGTTCCGGCGATGCCTCGATTTATGGTCCAGATTATATTGTTCAAAAGGACGTGGTGCTGGTTACGCTAAATTACAGACTAGGGGTTCTCGGTACGTGGCACGTCAACTCGATACGAAATTGTGCAACACATTGCGTCTCGTGGTTTTCTTCAAAACAATTTTAAGTTTTAAATTTTCTTTTTCCAAAGAAGTCATTTTTGCGCGCTGATGCTTTTATGAAAAACAGTTTATATTTTCAAGGTTAATATTTCATACGTACTAATACCGTAGATATTACCAAAGTAATAACTACACAAGTAACAACTGTAGTACTGATTCATATACATTTTATGTATGTTTCCTAAAGGTATATCTAATGTTTTATAATATAGCTTAGAAAACTTATATAAAATCAGTTGTGTTACTATAATTATATAGTACTATTTACATTCGTATTGTTTACTGATATTATTTTTACATCATTTAAAGCAAAGAAATTCTACTTAAAAAAATATTGTCATTAACAAATTTTCCTATTAAATTTTCCTATTAAATATACGTAGATCACTACTTCTATACTTCTGATCGTGTTTAGAAATGAAAAAGGCATTAATGACTTCAGGTTTTCTGAATCTCTACGACAAAGTGGCAACGGGTAATCAAGGTATGAAGGATGTGATTATGGCGTTACAATGGGTGCAAAAAAATATATCACAATTCGGTGGAGATCCGAAAAACGTCACTATCTTTGGCGAGAGCGCTGGTGGAGCTATCGTGCATTTTCTAACTCTGTCTCCGTTAGCTAAAGGTGCAACCTATAATCCTATTGATACGCAATGATGTAAAATCAGCAAATTTTATCTCATTTAATATTCAAAGATTTATTGGCTGTTTTGAACTTGATCTTTGCTATAAAAAAAAAAATACTCGAGCACTGCCAAGATAAAAGATATAAGCTGTTTACCAAGTTTCTTTTCTCTTTCTTGCTCTCTCTCTCTCTCTC